TTTCCAGATTGTGTAGTTATCGTCATTTAAAGGTTCTATGCGTCTTCGGTAAACTTCTTCTGACATTTTGAAATATTATATCGTCTTATTTACTTCCTTTCTTCAAAATTCCATGCAGCAGGTGGGACCGAGAAATGGCCGTCTTTGCCGTTTAGGTCCGTACCTTCACTTATCCTATTGTCTTCACTCGTCTTCTGAGTCTCCTATCCGTTTTATCGATGTCCAGCGCAGTGCTTGAAGACTCTGGGCCCATAACCTGTTGTTTCCTTTGTGAAATCACATTGGATCATCGAGGTAAAAACGGATAAGAAATGAAACGCCTTCGTCCAAATCTAACGTTTACTGGAGACTGAATGAACATTACAAGATACCAAAGGTACACACAGAAAGAAAGTAGCAGTGGGTGTGGTACCAACTTATGAACAATATATATCACCAGATAAATATGGCCAACACTAGAACTATAGTATTACAACAAAACTATCACTATGCTGTCTACTTTCCAACATACCAAAGGTACATCTACTCAGGCAATCTGCCTGTCACAGTGGAGCTGGTGTCTGACATGCTAACCCAGACTGGATCATATGGAACAGCAGGTGGAGTCATATGGTCCATGTAGCCTATCTTTCTCGCCAGTGCTGTGTCAAAGCTGTGCCTTAATGCTATGCTCAACCACCACACTGTCTGGTTGGTACAGTCAACAGATTAGTATCTGCAGTTTATGCTGGGAGATGCAAACACTGTCCAGTCTAGAAAACCAAAATTAACAACTGTGGGGATTCGTTGCACTGACCATGTGACACCCTCTATCTGCTAAAGTTGGTATTAACTTCACCGACAAGCGGCGGTTGCTTGGTCAGTATAATTCACTTGTGGACTAAAGCAATGAGTTTTTTCTTTTGAGCAAACACTGACGATATGGATCTGTAAAATGGGCTGGGATGGATGACAGTTTTGTGTATAAATATATTATGCAAACACAGTAATCATCACCTCAAACGCTCATGAGGAATACATAAGACAGTATCTGAAATCCTGGACAAACTCCACATTGAATGTTGCCTGAGACTGCACTGTATATTGTCATCATGAAACACGGACATCATACATAAAGTACACTTCCCTTCTGTGGCACATACAACTACACGAACCAGATAAGTCAGCAGTGGTGGAGCATATAATTGAGGCAGGCATCAAATAAACTTCAAGGATACCGCTGTGCTGACAAGAATGTCATGCTACACCAACCGCTCGGTGAAGGAGGCCACTGAGATAGCCAGCTGCACTATGATTCCAAGTTGTATATATGAGAGAAGTCAAAAGCATCATCAGGAAGGGCCACGAAACAATATGAATTCAGATGAAGGACTGACTGCTCCCCACATGGGCTGTGTT